AAAATTTTCATTCTCCCTCTCAGATATGCAGTCAATGAAAGCTTTAAGTAAACTAACACAACCTTTTTCTTTTACGACTTCTCTATCCCCATGTCCCGCAACAAAATGAGTTGATAAGAAATCAGATATGTCATCCAGTAGGTACTGAAGAACCTGCAGTGAGAATAATTGCATCACAACCATACAGATGGACCAAGATTTATATGAGAACAAAGATTAACTTAACTTGAACAGAAATAGAAAATAAGTTCTCACAATCATTATGTAATTGACCTCTGTTACCATCAGCATAAAGCGCCAAACTTACAGATCTCATGTCATTGTCTTCATTTAGCAATTTTCCTCCATCAACATCAACAACCGCACGTTGCTCAAGAAGGTACTTCTAAGAATTGAAAGTCAAACGAGAAATTATTAATGAAAAATTGAATATAAGCATAAACACATAAAATGGTATAGAATGGTGCTCCTCATTCCTAAAATTTAATAAGGAAATAATTCCATTAAAAAAACCATGTCAACGGTGCAAAATGTAAGACGAACCTGTGGTACCATGTTTGCCACTGAAGTTATGACAGCTGAAATCGATTGTTCCTGTATGCATTGATAAGTGAGACTACTACGTATACTCATAACTAAAGCTAACGACTAAATGCACATTTCTCTCATTATATGAAGACAGAGACTACGAGAACAAACTTTACCTCTTTGGAAACACATAGATCTAACAGAGGCTATAAAACTTTGCATTATATATTGAAAGAATTAAGAACATAGATCTAACAAGGTCGCATGAAACTATACAGCGTTGCAATAATTGATAACTAGACCATATTACAAATCACCAAAGGAGAAAGAATTTTTTATCCTCGAATTTTTAAAAACTATATTCTTTCTATATATTAAAATTCACAAACAACCATGGTGACATCCCACAAGAAGCAGTGAGTCAGATCTACTACATTTTACCAAATCTATTTACCCTGTGAACAAGTTTTGAAATCATCTCTAGTGTTAACAGCACCTTGCGTCCTTGGGTAAGCTGAGTCCTATAATCAATCAAAGAGACCACAACTCAGTACATAACCAAAAGATTTTAAACACTTGTCATATGAAATAAGAACAAAAAATAAAAGACAAGAGAGAGGAGCAAAAATATATATATAAATGGCAGTACATATAATGATTAATAAGCCTGAATTGTGAATAAATTGCTGGACCTACAATTACTTTACGGCAAAACTTATGGATACATAAATGTACTTCCTCACTAGATAAAAAGATACATGTATATTTAGAGGTAACCATGCAAAAATGTTAAAGAATATTGTGATACACACCTCTTCAAGGTACCAGAAATTTTTGCACTAAAGATGTCACAAGCAGCTGATATGAAGCTGCATTTTCTATGAGCCGAAATTTTGTCTATATATTCAATTACCTGAGAGAGAGATATTCAGAGACGTGAGCCTAAAGACTACATGTGAAAAAAAGGGAGATTAAATCTCAATAGCGCAAGCAAGTAAACTGTAAATGCTGAAAAGAACGTTAAAAATGATGTTCATTGTGATACCTTCTTCTTTTCCTCTTTCTCAAAAGGAAGTAAAGCCTTAAAGACTTGACGATATGATCCATCATCACAATCAGGCAAAGTTGTTTTGACCATAGCAATAATGGCTCTGACTACCTACCATAAGACACATACTACATCAACAACCAATAACTACAACCACAGAGTACCCAAAACCTTCGAATCAATTTCACAAATTACTCCGCAGTTGTATACCAAACCCTTCTTGGAATATCAGGTCAAAATGGCAATGAAAATCTAGTAACAAAAAACAACGAAAAGGACCAGTGATGCCAAGATTCAGGTGAAAAAAAAAAATAAGTGAAAACCTTACGTCAATTACAGTTCTTGTTTGCATTCTTACTAGCATAAGCTGTGCATTACAGTAACTACCTTATGAAAAAATAATAATAATAAATTGGCAAAATAAATAAAGAGCTGAGAAAATAGGTTCTGTAATCTGGAAAAGTACCAATTACCTTCTTCCTATAAACGGCCACTCCATGAATATTAAATGGTATTTTCCTTTCACGCAAGGCTGTTTGGAAGACTTTTCCTGATACCTGTAGTATAATATACAAAGTAAAATATGTCAAAGATGTATTATATGATTTACTTCATTCACATTCACATTCACACTAGGGCAAGTAAGCTTGACCTGCCTCCGGTAAAGGATTGCTATGTTTCCATAGGAGCACCCTGCATCTGACCGGTTAGATGCAGTTTCCAGGATCTTGTCAACAACAAAGGCACATTGTGCATCCTCATTGTGACTTTCCTTGATAATTACCTAAGTTTTACCAGCAAAACCATTTAGAATTGTGTCACTAATTAAAAGGATTGTAAATGACATCAAATTTTACTTGTTTGAGCAGGGAAAGGTTAAATACCTTAGATCCAGAAGAGTTGTCAGTCTCAACATTCTTTAGTTGGCATCGCTTCTTGTTGTTTTTTATAACAGAAGATGCAGCTTCCACAATATAGCGTGTGGACCGATAGTTTTTATTAAGTCTAATCTGAATCATAAAGTTATATCAAATTCCACATATACCCATAAAATAAAACTTCTTTCTAGAAATTATACAATATATGAATATGTTCTGTATAATAATCAAGTAACTATGAATGACATGACATAACATAGCAGTCAAGTGCAAAGCGAACCTCTTTGTAATTTGGAAAATCTCTACGAAAGGAATCAAATCCAGAAATGTCTGCCCCATTGAAACTGAAAATGGACTGCGGCAGGATCTTGATTAGAATGAACTCAGAGAGAGAGAGAGAGAGAGAGAGAGCAAAAACAATTCGACTGCCATAATGTGGTAGTTCAAGAAATAAACAGCATACCTGATCATCATCACCAACAATGGTTATGTGGTTATGAGATGCAAGAATCCGCAGAAAACTATATTGCATAGCACTGGTGTCTTGAAACTCATCTATCACAATAGCTTTCCATAAATCCTGGCACTCCTTCAACACTTATTAACAGAACAAACAAAAAGTATTAACACTTAGCTTTTGTGAGATTAGATAAATTAAATTAATTTACTTAGATGATACAGACCTTCAGGAAAATCAGTGAGCAGCTTCACAGAGTAACTAATTAGGTCATGGTAGTCCAAAGCGTTACAAGATTTTAAGATATCATTGTAGTTCCCAAGAATTTTCCCCTGATTCAGATCCAGAGCTAAAACTCATAAGCAATAGTACATGAAAAGCTAACTGAAACGTCTAGTTATGAGCTTACTCCTGTCTCATCACCCATTTTTCTGTATTCGGCTGGAGTCTTTCCAGAAGCTTTTGCCTGAGTCACAAACTTCTGCCATTTCTTTGACGCATCCTTATAATGATGTGGAGACGTGATACTGTTAGACTCTTCGCCAACTATGGCAACACTATGATTCTTTCTACTCTTTTCATCTTCCAATAACCGCACAGCTTCAATAATGGCTCTTCTCTGTTGTCCATGTCCATATATCAAGAACTCCAGTGTGCGCTCAAGTCTAAAGCATCAGTCAGACTCAGTTATCAACAATATATTCATGCTGTTCAAGAATCAAAATCAAGGGAGGTGAATCTACAACATACTTCTCAGCATGTGATCGGCAAAGCTGCAACGAAAATGAATGAAATGTGCTGATTGTAAGCTGTTTGGCAGTTGCTTTCCCAGCCACAGCTCCAATTCGATCTCTCATCTCAGCAGCTGCTGCTGTAGTGAAAGTCATGGCTAGAATATTCGATGCACTAATGCCCTAAGAATACAAAACAAAACGAACGATCATAAGCTAAAAAAAGAGAGGGGAACAAAAAAAGATTCAAAATTGAGAGAAAAGGCGGTAACACCTCATTAAGCAGCATCAGAACACGGCCAACCATAGTCGAAGTCTTTCCGCTTCCAGGGCCAGCAACAATCATCAAAGGTATTGAAATATCGCTGCAAGCCGCTTCGAGCTGCCTCTCATTGAGAGAAAGCAAATACTTCGAATACTCATCTGGCATGTTCGGCAATCCATGGTTGGTAGAATCTGTCTGATTATCAGCATTCACAGGCAGCACTGAAGCGGTATTAGCATCACCATCACAACTCTCAATATCATCATGGTGAATTTCCACGCTTGGTTTCTGCTCGATCAAAGCGTCAATTTCTTGCAAAATACTCTCATCGAAATCATCTTCGTCTAGAAATCGAGGTGCGGAGAAAGAATCAAATGAAGTTGAACATTGGGGTTGCCTGATTGGAGTTGTGAAAGAATCTGATCCTGATACTGATACGCTTGATTCAATCCGGTTAATGCTTAAGCTACCAGAACATGAAGCGCTGCTATATTCGCCACCGTCTGACTTGCAGCAATTCGCTGAGAATGGAGACGGAGATGGCGTGTTTATAGGTAGCTCAGCAAGAGGAACTCTCTGGATGCTATTCAGCTGAGCTGGTGTTTGAATTCCGTTTCTACCACAAATTCTGGAATTACAAAACACGATGGAATTTTGAATTAATCATTTACCCTAACAGCAAACAGAGTAAAAGGGTGTGAGTCTTACTTGTTATGAGGAAAGTGATCAGGGGAAACGGCGTCGTGGCGAGGGCGTTTACGAGCAATGAGGGCCTTGGCGGCTCTGAAATTCAGAGAGATTCGGTTTCTTTGTTCCTCCGTGAGTCCTCGTCTGCCGTACGTTTGAATGTTTTCTTTGGACGTCGACATTGTTGTTTCGGAACATGCGACGGAAGCTTGGCCTGATGTAATGTCCACGCAAACCCTAGAAGAAGGAGCGAAAGGGGCCAAAATGTGTCCGTTTTGTTTTGGTTTTCCCTCCTATTTCGGCTGTTGGAAATATGAACATTGGGCCTTTTTACAGCAGCCCAACTATCAGGCCCACTAGTACTACTTCCCGAAAGTTAATAGCAAGACTCGAGAGTGTGGTTCAGTTTTTCCGTCAGATTGAAAATGGATGCCCTGAGAGCCTCGTACGGAGACTCGTCGTCGGACTCAGACTCCGAGTCGCTAGCTCCACGTCCAGAGCTCAAAAACTCCGAAGAATCGAGCTCTGCTCTGCCCCCACCTCCTCTGTCACTTCTCAACAGTCCCAATTCCTTTGGTAACTACTAATTGCAATCAATTTTCTCTCTTTTTGCCTTGTTTTGGTATGGTTTTGAATTTTCAAATCTGTTGTCGATCAAGTGTTTGATGTTTTGACTGTGAAGGATTTCTGGACTTCTCACCAAGCGCTCAGCCCGGCAGAGTGAGGAACTTTCCTCACGTGGAAGGGAACTACGCAGTACATGTCTACATCCCAGGTAATCAAATTCTCTAATTATCAGTTCCATTAGCAAATGCCATGACTTTGAGCTTAGAGCGTTTAGACCCTTGTTTAATTCAGTACTTGCAGTTTCATTAGCAGATTCCATTAGCAAATGACATGACTTTGAGCTTAGAGCCTTTAGACCCTTGTTTGATTATGTACCTGCAGTTTTTATACCATCAGCACCAAGGAAAGAGATGGCCTTATTTTTGAACAAGCTAGCTTCTCTGGTGACCGGTCTCCATGCTGTCGACGTGGACGTCCCTCTTGAGATTTTGCGCAAGGATGAGCACAAGCTTGAACAGGTTGCTTTGGGTAGAGAGTTCCATATAAGTCTGGGAAGAACTGTACCAATCCGAGTGCACCAGATTGACTCCCTGGTCACAATGCTTCGGCAGAAGCTTCAGATTCAGAGGCGGTATGGTTACTTACATTCTATTGTGTGCATGAATTTTAGTTCCTTTGTTGAACATAATGCTGCAAATTTGCTGTAACCCATTTCCCATTTTTGGTTTCTAACACATTTTGTTATGGTAAAACAGGTATTGGATTGATTTTAGCAAGTGGGAGGTTTTTGTTAACGATGATCACACCCGGACCTTTGTGTCGATAGAAGTTATTGCTGCTGGGTTAGCTGAGGTATGATTGCAAGCTTTCTCTCTTGATCCAGTTCTTATTGTTCTGAGTTTTTATATAGATGTAAAATTTAGGAAGCAGTAAGCCAAAAACATGGGATTTTGAAACATTGATATCTTGCTTGCTTGCTTCTTAACTCTAAATGTGATACTGTTCAACTTCAATTGATTTCAGATAACAAAGCAGATTCAAGCTGTCAATGAGGTGTATAAGCTTCACAATCTTCCTGAATTTTACAAGGTTGGCATTGGTTAATTGGAGCAAGTGATAGTGCAAAATTTTTACTTATAACTCAGAATAAAGAATTCACAATATTGGATGTTGTTCATGGCAGGATCCTCGCCCTCATATATCGGTAGCTTGGGCATCAGATGACATCAGCAGTTCCCTGAAGCAAGCGGTTGAAGAAGAAAGAAGATCTACAGTCGGAGGATCATTACAGAAACGTCTTTTTACCAGTAAATTCAATGGCATCGAATGTAGGATTGGTAGTAAAACCCATAAAATATGTAAATTTTCTGAATAATAGTGTAACTGTTAATTATACAATCCATTTTTGTTGCTTTTGACAAAAGCGCACTTGTCGGGGAAAGTTGCACAAGTGAAGAAAACCTTTCAATTGCGTTCAGAAGTCTAATCATATTCTTGAACAGTTTATATATACAGAGTGTTCCTTGGTTATGTCACAACTCAGATGGAGGATATATGTGTGGCATCAAAAGTAAGAAAAAGAGGTTTACAGTGGTAAGGGAGCAACTAATGACAGCAGTGTGCTTCTAATCAAAGGGATCGATCCGAGGGTCATGTTCGCTTGCCATCGCCATTCCCGTGCAAAGGCATGTAGGGCACATTACCTGCCATATCACAGAACAGTGTTAAATATAGCAAACATATATCAGTCATCAAACGCCTGAAGCAGCGAGTCAATATGTATGATGAGGCAGATACACTTATATGGCAACAGGAAGAGGATTTAGTACGCAAAAACATTAAGTGACATTTTAAATATCCAACCTTTCCCGCTCCTGAGCAATTTGAACACCTTTCCGTTTTTGGCAGTGATAGGGGCTGATCTCCATCGACTGCTGATATTGGTTCGGTAAGAACCAGGGTTCCCGTGCTTGAACAGCGGGCACAAGCGAGATATCCTGCATAATTATCAAATAAACAGGTCAAGAATTAAAACAAACACTCTGAGTTTGAATAAACAATTTGGTCGAGCAATTCATCAAACCGTGAACACATATTAAATTGGAAGTATGTATAGTTCATTTGGGAACTTCCAAGAACGTTCATAGCTAATATAGAAAAGGTAAACATAACGAAATTACACTAAGTGCATATATAAGCCGGGACATGGTCAACTTGGAGAGGAAAAACTTGATAGGCCTACTTCCTAGCTGAAGATGCAGCCCTAGATTTAGCTAATTCAGATAGTCCAAACCAAGTAGTTGACATGCAAACAATACAAACATCTCAATCAGAAACATTAAAAGCTACACTAAAACCTATAGGTAAAAGTCAGAAATATAGGACATTGTTATACCAGTTCCAACACAATATTTGCATCTTTTCTGCTCCTGCTGTTTTACGTTGTTGATTTCAACAATCATCAATGCGGAGATGACACCAACTGCTCCTCCAGAGAAGGATGCCACTATGGGATCAACTTGACTGCAATGTGAAAGCAAAGCAGTTCAATAAACCAAACTAAAAATGTCGTATGGACATAATTTAGCGTCATGTCAAGATAGATGACATCCTAGTTTTTTTGTCCAATGTGCAAAACTTGGGGATCCTCGTAAGGTTTAGATATATCAGTTCGCGTAGTAAAGTTTAGTGCTTTTGGTTCCCACATTTCAGTCACAAAATGGGTTCATGTCAAGATAGATAATCTGATATTTCAAAACAATAATTAGTAGAGCGATGGAGGTTAACAGTGTAAGATATGAGCCATACCTCAACTGCAATGGCAGATGCACACTTTCTATAAAATCTTCATATGAGGTGCCTCCTATTCCCAGTTTCAACTCCAACTGAAAGATTAATATAAAGGGAGGGGTAGAAAAAAGAGTTTAGAAACGTAATTGAATCCGTGTTAAATTGAAAATTAAAAAGATGCTTATTTGATAGGTTTCTCATTTTCTGACTTTTCTACTTGCAAATTCAGAAAATGTTGACCAATATACTCTCTTATAAGTTATAACTAAAAGTTAACGCATAAACAACTTACAGTGGGTGCTAGGAGGCCACCGAAAAGGATAAACGCCATAATAATTGAATAACAAACAACATAATACTGCTTAAGGTTGTCTGAACTCTGCAAGCAATGCATTCACCATGTGATTTTAACAGGAAACAACAAAATATGGATGAAACAAGTTGGGGAAAATGAAATTGTCAAGGTTACTGGAACCTTTATTAATCATATAAGATATAAATACAAGTCTAGAGAGATAAGCTCACCAGGGGAGGCAAGAATGGAATGAAAGATGGGAAACTAGGAAGTTCATTTTCTTGATCTTCACTTAACATTCCAAGCTCTGCGCTTTTAATCCTCTGTTGTATCCTCAGCCTGCGAACCTACACATATTGAAGCTCATTTATTTTACAAAATTAATAACCAAAGCAAAACTGAGAAAGGGAGAGAGTAGCCCACCTCCTCCATATGCAAGAAAATTTTGTTGCGTCGACTTCGAATATTATCCTGAATTTCTTGCAACTCCATTTTGGCAAAGTCTTGGACTGTTTCAGGCCCCTCTATGATACAGAATCTGCAGAACAACCCAATCACATAACAAGAATCTTATTATAAAACGATGAATATATTACCAGCCACAACATTATTTTTCACACACATTAGGCACATGGCTTTTAGCATAAAATTTGAAACACCAAAACTGTTTGCAAGCTACAGTTGAAGTTTTCAGTTTCTGTTATTGTTTTCCCACCTATTCTTAACTGCCAAACATGAAGAGAGAGAGAGAGAGAGAGAGTACCCGGCGGGGTTTGTATCAGTGGGATCGGAGTCGATAGAAGGAGCAAAAGAAGAGGACTCGGGCTCGGACGTCATTGATCGCCATCTGGAGATCGATTTGGGGCTTGCGTAGCTGAATCTGGAGCTGGAGCTCTGTAAATTGTACGGAAAATACCGGTTTACTGGAAACGAAACCGCCAAAAGTCGACCCGAACAGAGCATGTCTCTCTCTCTCTATCTCTCTCTCGCTTTCTAAGAAGCACCCAGAAAACAGAAAGCAGAAAGCAGCGAGCTCTGTTTTTCTCTTCAGCTTTCACTAGTTCCAAAGAAAGCAGAGAACAACGCTCTGAGTTTAGTTGTGTGTGTTTCGTTTTCCCAGTGGAACGAGGCAAGTGGAGACCAAAAAATATTTTAAAATACACAAATAAAAGGGAAACTTGAGCACTGAAACTGAATAGTTGTATCTCCGTTGGAATCGTTTGTTTGGTTAGCTAGATGAAAAGGACCTTGTACGTTTATCCTATCCTGGATAAGGCATTATGTGTATGGTATGGATGGATATATGGAAAATGAGGTATTGTTTCAATTCGACTTTTCCAAATAATTCATGACCATGGAATATTGTTTGGCCAACAATGCAATTCCAAAGTTTATAGACTTGGACATGGAATATCATTCGGTTAGAAACGCCAAACTTCTCAATAAATTCGAACTCAATGATTAGTGTATTAGAAAACAAAATATGCCATGGATGATGGATGGGAGAAAAGAACTTTCATTTTCATGTCGTTGTCTCATTGAAGCCTTGAACTTTATTTCTTGATTGGCAATCACTTGGGAGTTGTTTGGTTGTTGTAATGAAATCAAGTGAGAAATGGAATTCATTCTATTGTTTGGGTTGCAAATTGGAATCAATTTAAATTCAAATTTGGGATAGGTTTTTAATTCGGAGGTTCAAGTTTAATAGAGTATATGATGGGATTCTAGTGTTCATGATTCGAGTCCCAACTCTTGAATTAGGGTAATGTGTTTGAGTTGCACGTGTGCATTATGAGTCCACCTATCTACAATTCAAATTTTGAAAGTTTGAATTTTGAGCTCATAATTGCAATAAATTTTTGAGCGAGAATGCCCTATGTGCCAACTCTCTCACAATGACGTAAAGCCTGAATTCACATGGAGAAACTAGTGTGTTGAGTTGCACGTGTGCATTACGAGTCCAAAGGTATACGATTTAACCTTCAAGACCCATGTCTCGAGTTTGAGTTTTGAGATCATAACTACAAGAAACTTTAAACTTTCCTATGTGCCAACTCTCTTACAATGACATAGAATTTGAATCCATATGCAGTCGCTAGTGTTTGAGTTGCATGTGTGCAATACAAGTCCAAAAGTCTAGAATTCAATGTTCAAGTCGAAGAATCATATTTCGTGTTAGAGTTTAGATCATGACTTCAATAAATTATAGAATGAGACTACTCTATGTGCCAATTCTCTCACAATAACATAAAACGGAACTCCACATGGAGTCTCCACAACATTGTGAGAGATCGCTCCCTTCACTTTGGGCTATTCTTTTATCTTGTATTGCTTATCTAGAATGAAAATTATACTTCAACAAAATAAAAATATATATAAAAAGAGAGAGCGCTCCCGCATATTCCCTTAGAAAACCTTCTTGGGAACTATATAAAAGATGAGAAAAAGTACCATGGTATTAAAAAACTTACTGATTTTGTATTTCATTAAATTGTGTGTTATGTGAGACTTTTGAGTGTGTGATATAAATACCAAATCACATAACAAATCCCACCATCCTATGCATGATTCTCATATATGCTCTCACAACCCCGATCTCTTGGACCACAGGGGTTCAAGAGATTTGTGGTCACCTACCGTTGGATGTTAATCTAACGGTTCAAAAAAGTTTCTTAAAAAGAGTGCAATAGTGAGTGAACCGTTGAATTTACATCCAACAGTGAATGATTACAAATCTCTTGGACCCTTATAGTCCAAGAGATTGGGACTGTATGCTCTCATACCTTCTTTTTTCGCATTATTTTTTCATGCTTTCAACATGCATTGATTCAAAGCTAGGCCTCTAAATCTAACTCTTCCTCCTCGTCTCCATATTCCTCCAAGACTAGATTTTTATCGTATTGCTGCGTGGCTATACTTGGAATTTGTAATTTTTTAAAATATAGTATAGCCGTTCTGCTATTCTCAGGTTTTCCTAATTTTTTAAAAGGAATAGGCAAACGGCTATACGAAATAGTATAGTCGCCCGGTTATACTCGATTTTTCTTATTTTCTTCAAAAAATAGTACAGCCGGACGGCTATACCCAAATCGTATAGCCGTGCAGCTATACTCGGTTCTAAATGAGTATAGCCGGTCGGCTATACTCAGTTTTGCTAATCGGCTATACTCGGTTTGTAAATGATTTTTCAAAGAAATAGTATAGCCGCGCGGCCGTACTTGGTCGTTCCTAATTTTTTACTAGGGATAGTATAGCCGAACGGCTATATACGGTTTTGTTTTTCTAATTTTTTTGTTTAGTCTAGCTG